GTGTGTGTGTGTGTCTGTGTGTATCACTGAAAGCTTGCTGAGAGTTTAAATAAGTAGAGACCAATGAAAGTTCGGGGATGTACCCACAGAGAAAGTTTTCTAAACCCAGTGTGGACTGTGATGTCAGGGTGGGCGGGGCTGAGGAGGCGTTCCTGGAACGCATCAACTGTATCTGAGATCCTGCATGAAAATTCAGGAGCTCGAGGTGAACCTGAACGCCTCAGCACTGACGTTCCTGATGTTACAGCTGTGTCACCTGCTGGCCCGCCCACAGGAAGTGACGGGGCAGTGATCTAACATCCTGACGTGACTCTCGCGGTGCTGACTGATGGCGCTCTTCTTCTATTCACAGCGTCAGCTTCGGTCCCTCCACACTTACTTGAGCGACTGGTTCTTGTCCTTCGTCTTGTGCTCCACCACCATTTTGCCACTCTGCCCCACAGTGAAGGCGAAGGTGCCCTGCACGTGCTGAGGGTAACGCAGTTTGTGCAAATGCTTCCTGAAAACTTCCGCCAGATCAGACGCCACCTCCTCATCAAATGCAATCTTCATAAGCTACACAGAGACAGAGACAACACGAGGTCAGAGCGCCAGATTCTAGTTTGGCTGAGAGCTGATCGGCGTGATTTTGAGGACGGTACCTGGAAGGTGCAGGACCGCAGCTGGAGCCCCTCCTGGACAAACTGGTCCATCGTTAACGAGACCGATATCCTCTTCTCCTTCGTCAGCGAGGCGACGGGGAAGGAGCGAGTGACTGCCTGCTCTCCAACTGCAGGAGGACACCGCGGTCAGCGACAGAACAGGACGATCGACAGAGTCGCAGCCAAAACTCCTCTTACCCAGTGGATCGGTGGGCGTGCCCTTGAAGATGAGCCGGTACGTGGTAAGGAAGATGGCGCCCTCCGCTGGCAGTAGAGGCGGACCTCCCATTAGCCCCGTGGCCTCCTCGCGCCCATCGGGGATCAGGTGAACACGCATGCCTTCCATCACCAGCTCCTCGCCAGGCAGCAGAGTCGGCCTTAGCAGCTTGGGCTGAAAGACACAGCAGAGAGCGACAGAGATGATGCTACGCCCTCACCGCCAAACATGGCCGACAGACAACTGCTCCGACTGCAATGAGGTTTACTGTCCTGCAGAGGACGTCTAAAACTACATGCGGTTATCTTAGTCACAGGAACACACTGCAACCGTTGCATGCTGTCACACCCGTGCTGAGGGCAACCTGCACCAGTGCATGCGCCCACGACACAAAGAGAAACATGTCACATGTGCAGCGATGGGCTCAGTGGCTGACTGCTGAAAATGAACAAGAGCAAACAAGAAGCTGGCTTTTTCCTCTAGACCCTTACATCACTTCCTGTCCTGCGGCGAGGCCTGGGAGATTTCTAAAGAGCGGAAATCAATTACAGCTTTGGTAGTGTGTCGCAGTAACACCCTGAGCCACACGTTCAGTTGTTATTGCCTGAGCCTGCATGCTGTGAGAGCAGGACACAGATGGAGAGCGCCCTTCCTAGATCAAGCTCACATACAGCCATCATCAACAGCACCCTTCAGGTGGAAGGCACGCCGCTCTGAAGGCCGCTCCGGCCTCAGATAGCAGACTGCACACCGCACATGCACGGCTCCGGCGTGCTGCGAGTCACACGCTTCTGTCTCCAGCTGACAGACGTACCTGCCGTGGCGCTTTGAGCCTGAGCTGAAGGGATTGGTGAAGAGGGGAGTGGGCGGGGCTGGTTGGGGTTCTGCATGGCCTTTGTCCAGTAGGATGTAAAAATATGAATTGGTTACCTTTTGGATGGGAGGCAGTCTCTTACTCTCCCTGTGGACTGCTTCCAGCGTCTCGATGTGCATCTGAACGATATCTGCAAATGTGAGAGTGCAGAGACGCAGCGTGAGGCTCGAGCGTGTCATGCGTGTGGGTGCAGACACGGGGATTCGTCCATACCTGGTATCATGGCGTGGAGAGCTTTGAGGTGCTCGTTGGTCACGCCGCTCTCATTGCACACTTTATCGACAAAGCGGTTAATGAAGCGCACCACGGAGTTTGCCACGTCGGAGCTCTCTGCGTCTTCAAAGCCGCTCTCCGTGTCGTAGCTTTCCGCCATGCTGCCTGCAATGCTGCAACACAAACACACTGAACATGGACGAAGCCCCAGCTGATCGAACAACTCGATGTACACAATAACGCCACACTCAGGGGCGATGCCCGTGTGCTGGTCACAGAATAAAAGGAAGGTCTCCGTTTTAAAGACAGATGTTGGGATTTCACAATAAAAGCCTGTCTAACTAAACACAAATTTCACAGCAAAACAAAAACAGACATTTGATGTCTCAGCCAATCAGCTGATTTGAGTGTGACAGTATTTACTAAGACATGTTTAGCTGGATTGTGTGAAGATAAAAACATCTAAAGAGTTGTTTGTGGTGGCACCACGTCCGTCGCTGTGGTGCGCCCCCTGTGGGCAGACAGGTGCTCCTACCTGTTTGTGACGTAGCTGTTGCTAACGCTCTCCACGTCTCCGAGGCCGGAGCTCCGCAGCAGCCGGTTCTTGCTGGTGTCCAGCGGGAGCAGCAGGTAGCTCATCCTGTTGGCGTAGTGGATGGCCTGGCTGAACACCGTGCTCTCCTCCTTCTGCACGCGCTCCATCTGCATTTCTTTGCAGAGCGTCGGCCACAGCCGGCTCTGCTCCGACGCCAGCTCCAGGGCGCCGATTTCCCTTCTGTTGCCCGAGGCGACGTGCTGTTCCTGAGAACACATCAGGAGGAACAAAGCTCCGTCAGTTGGACGGTGAACTTTGAATCACGCGTGCGGAGCGTGGGACACGCGGGCGCTCTGCTCACCGAGTTGTTGTGCTGCCCTCCGTCCTCCGTCTCCAGGTACAGGTGTCGGATGTGGTTCTGGACGTCGCTGTAGAACATGGCCTCCCAGAACTGCATGTTGGTCCACACCATGTGCTCCTGCACACAGCTGTAGGCAAACTGGGTGACGCCTGCTCCCAGTTTCTGTCAGACAGAACACAGACGTCCAATCACAGGCTCAGTAACACCTCAAGCTGCACAGTGTGGGCTCTCATTTTAGGAAGGCTGCACTCACTCTGCAGAAGGCTGTGACCAGGGGAAGCAGCGCCGCCGCGATCCCGTGTTCATCCATGTGTGAACAGTCCTGAGCAGAAAGAGCAGGAAAGGACTGAGCTCGAGTGTGAGGCTTCACGCTCGACCTGCAAAGACTTCTGTGACATGTGAGTAGCCTGCATCCTGTACATGACTGAAAAAAACAGACATTCGACGGTTTGAAACTGTAAATGCAACAGAAGAA